AAGGGGGAGAAAAAAGGGAAAAAATATAATAGCTAATGGCAAGAAGGAAGAAGGCAAGTGGGGATCGTCTGATTGTGTTATGCCATGCTTGAATACATTGGCTGGGAGGGAAAGGAAGGAAGGAAGGCAGGCAGGCTGAAAGAAAAGGAGAAGGACATTGAGACAATTGACAGGTGGGCTAGCACACTGGCCATGCAAAGGAGAAGGCAAGAGGTGCCCAACCCTTGTTCTGCTAATCCCATAAGACCATCTAGAATTTGTCTCAGCTGAAACCTGGAGCAACCAAGAGATTCCCAATTTCATTTTGGCCAGTCTATGACCCATCCAGAATCAATCCAGCCAAGCACAAAACAAAACACATTTAAGTTCTGTATACACTTCTAGTCATAAATAACTTCACTTTCTTAATTTCTGCAAGTCTGCTCTTAAACACAACCAGTTCCTTTTAAACACATTATATGTCATGTCATGGAGGCAGCATTGCTACAGCAGTTATGCTAGAACTTTGTGAGATGTTCTGCCTGTATAAGGGGAAATGCAGTCTCAGTGTCTGAGTAGGATTCTCTCTGAGGGTTATTTTAATTAAGCTATGTATCAGGTTATGTTGTTTTTGAACTAATTATCATTTGCAGGCACTTCAGAGGGCTCTGGTCAACTTCTTGCAAAATGTGTCAAATGTAAACTAGGAAAGTTTTTTCAAGAAACATGGTGTAGCCACAGAAATGGCCCATTCTCTGTTTCCTGCCTCCCCAGTCTTAGAGGATATCAGAATAAGTTCTGCTATATGATCTTAACAGACAAGCAGCTTTATATAGGAAAATATGATACTTGAAATATCCCACTCCCATATATGTCTGTGAGTTGAAGTTTCCATTGAATGAGCAGTCTTATACAAGTTGAAGGGAAACCAACATTGAAATATATCTCTGACTGGTGGAAAGCAAATTCCCAAATTAGGCTGCAGCAAATCTTAATTTACCACTAAAAGCCATTCAGTAGCTGTGTAGACAATTCTGACTCATTGTAAACTTAATTTGTGGGGTAGTTCCTATTCTAGTTTTAAGACATGAAGGGTTTTGTTAATTTACAAATGACTGGGTTTGCAGATTGTATCCTGAGAGCCTCTACCAGAAGAAGCCAGTTGATTTCGCACTGGAGCTCCCATTGCTCCCTCCAAAGCTCCTTTGTCAAATTGGTATACAATTGAATGATATGGCACAAAAGGAATCTGGCCAGGGAGAAGAGATCCTGAAAAATCAGGCAGAAATAATTCTGTAAGTGAAACTCAATTTATATAATGCCTGGCAATTCTGACCCTGAGTAGCAGGTTTTTGGAATTCAGAGGACTTCACTGGAGAAGAGACAGTGGGCTAGTCTCTATATATGAGCTTCCTTTGATATGGCATTCTTTAGAGCCAATTCTGGACTTTGAAGAAGCAGGACACTTTTGAACTTCAGTATTAGAGAAGACTCTTGAGAATACCATTGAAAAATCTCACTCAAGGCACAAATGGTCAGGCTCAAATCATCATACTTCAGATACATCATGCAAAGACACAGCTCTCGGAAGACGTCTATACTGCTGGGCAAAGTGGAAGGAAAGAGAAGAAGAGGACAATAAGCAGGGCGGATGAACTCAGTTACAACGTTGATGGGTGTACCATTGGGACACCTGAAGGACCAGGTTTGGGACAGGACCAGGTTTTCTGTCATGGAGAAAATCTATTTATGTGGTCAACATTGAGTTGATGGTATATAATCTATCAACAGCCAGTCCAGTAGTTCAAAACATACTAGTTAATTGTCTTATATAAAAATTAAAATATTCTGAATGCTTATCATTTTTCTTCCATAGTTAAAATAGAAATAGCATGTGGTCTGGATTATGAATGTTATTATTTATTTATTTATTTATTTTCTTTTCTTCTTCACATATTTCAGATATGGTATGCTTGTCAATTTTGCACTGTCCAATTATAGTTTGTATCTGACTTGCATTACAGATGGTACCTTTCTTGCAGTGGGGTCCCATGACAACTTCATTTACCTCTACATAGTAACAGAAAATGGAAGAAAGTACAGCAGATATGGAAAGTGCACTGTAAGTTTTAAGAACTGTAAATTAGTATTCATTTTTTATTTTGTAAATAAAGGTAGAATATATATATAGATTTAGCTGCTTTCCCATCCAAGTACTGCTTAGATGCAGAACTGTTTAATTGCAGCAAGTAATATCATGATGAGCCTTCAATTTCTGATGGTTGATGACACAGGAAATGAATAGCACATTTCTATTTAAAATACTCCCAACTAATATTGTGATCTTATCACTCGACCACAACATTATCCTCATATGCCACTTTTTAAGGCTGCCTTAAGAATATAGTATCTATTGCCCTCTTGTGGGGAACGTCCAGTTTGACATGATTTCTTGCCAAACAAATACAAAACTTTAGTAACTGCTAAAATCTAAAAATACATGCATATATATGTACTTGTATATCTGTCATGCTATTTTTTTCAAGATAAGCAACACTATACAGAACTCAAAAAATGAGTAAGAAATAGTAGACCAAAAAATTAAAAGCATGAGATGAGAAAAACAAAAGGGAACAAAGCTAAAGCTAATTTAGAATAATACCATTAAATATACCTTTCCGTATCTTTCTATCTTGCAAACTATCTTTGTTCTATTACATCCATACACTATTTTATGTACTGCTGTTTCTTCTGTAAACTTTTCACCTCTTTTTTTGAGGAGTTTTTCAACTCCATTCACCTAGCTTCTTCTTCTTCTTCCCCTTCCTCTTAACCCATTCACACGTCCTTCACATACAGGTAGTCCTCATTTAGTGACCACAATTGGAACCAGCAACTCGGTCGTTAAGTGAAGTGGTTGCTAAGTGAAGCCGCGACTGTGTTTATGATCTTACTTCAGCTTTCCTTTGCTGAAGATCATAAATGCAAGGACTGGCCACAAAGTTACTTTTTCATCACTGTCGTAACTGCAAATGGTTGCTAAACAAGTCAGTTGCTAAACATGGACTACCTGTGTTTGATTTGCATTTTGATCCTCATTCATTGAACTATATAATCAAACCACTTCAAGATAATTTTTATGAACTGGTCGCTCACTTTTTTATTCAAATCATTCATCATTTTTTTCATTCTTGATGGTATCTTTTCTCATTTTGCCACAGGCATAAGTATCTGCTGCATTCCCACTGCATTCAACTTACTTTTATGTTTCTCCTGACATATAACAAAGTGGACAGAAGCACACTCTTATACACACAATATTTTTGTTTACTTCAACAAATATATATTCCCTGCCACAGGCCACATATTACCTTTCTACCAATATTTGCACATTTTAAAATTTGTCAACTCATTTTCCCCATCTTTAGTAAATATTCTTTCAGAGTACCCAGATTCATCTACTTGCTTTAGTTTACACTATTTTTGTCTAACTTACAACTGTTAATTCAATTTTCCCTGTCAAACTCAAGTACCCTGATATTTTATACATTAATTTTCAACTGCATATTCTTTATTGTATTACACAGTCTAGCATTCACTATAAATCATACAAGATTGGTTCTCAGCCAACAAGATAGCATCATCTGGATACAAAAGTACACATATGTTCATATTTCCAACCAATACACAATACACTAAGCATTCCTTATGCATTTATCCATTAATATATTAAATAACCAGAGGACATTGTACATCTTTATTATCTTACTTCCTGCACAATGTTGAATGATTAGCTAAGCATTCAATTTATTCTCATGCATCATTCCATTTCATCATATGTTGCTCTGATCACATGGAGCAATCAACTTTCAAAATCATGCAGGTAGTCTTTGATTTACAACAATTGGGACTGGAATTTCCATCACTAAGCAATGAGGTTGTAAAGCGAGACGTCACGTGACCACATTACTTAGCAATGGCAATCCCGGCACTCCCTGTTGCAGTTGTTAAGCAAATTCTGCCAGTCATTAGCTGAGGACCCACACCAATCCAAGCCATTCTGGGCTTGGTCTCTCCCAGCACCGAGCCTCAGTAAGATAAGATACTCCCCCCGCCTATGTCCCCCCCCATGTCTGCCCTTTTGGCCACCCTGCACCCTGCCTTGCAAGACAGCAAGCAGCTCCAGAATTGTGGAGCAAGGCAGGGTGCAGGGTGGCAAGCAGCTCTAGAACCATGTGGCTCTGGGGCTGTTTGGCACACCTTGGGAAGCTGCAGCCGCCCCAGCCCAGTCCCAGCCCCAGTTGCCCTTGCGGCTTTGCGTTCCGCCACCTCAGCTGACCTTTGCCATCTTCTTGCTCCCACTGCTTACAAGTCATGTCTGGCCTGGCTGCTGGGCCGGGCTGGGATTCATGCTGCACTGCAGCTCTGGGGCTGCTTTTTGCAGCCCCAGAACTGCGGCATGCCAAAAAGCCCCTTTGTGAAAAGCCCAGCCCCAGCCCAGGAGCACAGCACAAAGGAGCTTTTTGGAGGGCTACAGCTGTGGGGCTGGAGAATGCAGCCCCAGAGCCACAGCGCAGCACAAAGCCCAGGCCCGGCCCAGCCCAGCAGCACAGAGCAAAGCCGCAGCTGCCCCAGCCCAGGCCCAGCCGCAGCTGCTCTTGCCACCCTGCACTCCATTGCCCCAGCTGACTTGCACTGTCTTCTTGCTCCTGCTGCTGATGAGGCGTGCCAGGCCTGGCTCTTTGCGAGGCAGCTGCTGGCCATGTGAGACCATCTTCCCCAGGTCTTGCGAGGAAACCGCTGTGTGCAACCGTAACACAACTGTCTTTCTTCAATATAATTCTCATACAAATCTCTAAAATAACTCCTGTCCAAACCCTTCTCTTCGGTTTCATCCCAAATCATGTAATCATTTTTACTTTTAATGCCATTCACTCTGCTTGAAGGCTCTTTATTTTGCTCTTTGTGCTCACTTTCAAAACATTATGTACATATTACATAATAGTTTAATTCCAAACACTTATATGGCACTTTATCATTCTTCTCTCAGCTTCCACTTCCTCTATCCTTATATGCGTTTTCCATTCATCTTTTGGGAGATTAATCTGCTTTTCTCCCAAGTTCCATTCTTGAAACAACCAAAAAATGGTCTTTCCCACATTCAGAAGCTCCCACAAGGTTTGTATCTTTCACTAATTCTGTGTTTTGTAGTAAAAATCATATCAATCATGCTTTTAGATTCGTAGTCATTCTTTTTGCCATTGATATGTATTAATAGTCTTTTGTCTAAATGTACCTAAAATGTGCACTTGAAAGAAACGGACCTTTTTTTAAGCAAGTGCCCACCAGCTTTTTATTTTTTTGTTTTTTGGGTTTCTGAATGACCCAATCATTTTTTCAGTACTCTCTTGTCTCAGTTTCACCCATACATATTATCCTGAAGAATAATTATTGATTTTCCAGGTACTAAAATTAGGCTTTTTGGTTTTTATTTGGAGCATTTTTCCTTTAGACATCTTGTATCATGTAAGTTGCTTTGTACAACTGTAGACGATATAAATGAAGTTGTTCTTGTTATGCCTCAAGAACAGCAGTTAATATTAAGCTGTGAGGTATGAAGAATTGGGGAATGGGGACTGATGACAGTAGGAAACTCAAGGAGGAATATAAGAAATATATAATAATAATTTGATTAATCACTATTGAAAGATCTAGCTCATTAGCCTATTGACTTCATAGACAAGTATAAATGGAATTATAATGCTTCTTTTTCCCTCCTTGATTTCAGGCTTCTATAAAATACACATGAGAAGGTTGCTGGCAAGTTACCCAAAATATCTTATCTAGAATTATTTTACTGTCCATAGAAGATATTTATTGGTTTTTCTTGGTGCCTTCATTAATATATTCCCAAGGCTTTTCCCACAGTTAGATTATTTTCCATGAATTCTCCCAAAGCAATACCTGCTTCCTAGCCTGTTGCTGCTGCCTGACATATCTGCTATATCCTGTTTTTTTTCATATCACTTGCAGACATTGTAGGCTACAAAGAGTGTGTTGACAAATCTCTGACTATACTTTTGATTCAGCTTTGTTGGCTGCAAGTTGAGCAGACCAGCTTTTGATACAATGGTATTCTAATTATAGCTTGCAGGATTAGTATACCAGAGGGCCAAACTGTTGATTTGTATGATGAGTTTTACATTATATTCCTTTTGATTGCCCTTTTAGGGCATGAATACACACACACACACACACGTATACTGTATATATTCCTTCCAGTTTAAAGGTAGGCAAAATATGCTTTTAACTGTGGTAAAATACAGTAGAGTTCCATGATTTCCATTCTCATTATTTCTAAAGTTAGTTCTGGAATTATTTTTGTGTCCAAAAATTTGTTTTCAGGGACCATTTTTGCCACATTGCTTCTTACAGTATGTTCAAGTGTCATGAGTCCTAGTATATAGTTCTCCATTCTGTGCTTGTTTTGTTTGTTATTTATATTATTCTGGACATGTGGAGGCTAGAAAGTAATTTTGTATATCAATTGAATGCATGTGTATCTTTCAGTTTTGAATGCTAATTTGACATTCCAAATTCTCTATCAGAATGCAAATATTGGGAGGTTGGAAACTTTTTCCATTGTAAACAATTGCCCCACATGAAATAAGGACAGAAAATATATTTGTTTGGAAGATCAGAGTAAAAACTGATGTGCTTATTGTGCCTTTCATTTTTAAACACAAGCTTAACCCAGACATAATGTCTTCCAAAAAGTTTCGGGGAGTGAGGACTCTAGAATATTCTTCCCTCTTTGTGTTAGCATGTAAATTTGTTTTCAGGCAAAATACACAGAGCTGGTTATTAATTTTAAATCTTAGGTCTGGATTAATAGAGAGAATCCCATCTTCTGAATGATCTTCCACCCCTCAGGGAGGTCATCTGAGAGCTCATCCAGCAGCAGTAAAGCTTTTCCTGTAGCTCCCCCATGTCTTTGTTAAATTGCCTTTTTAAACTCTAATGTTATATTTTAGTGTAAGCTGTTACGACTCTGACAGTTGGCAGTATAAAGAATAAAAAATTCAAATTTATCTAATAATAAAAGGAGGTGTGACTGGTGAACTTTTAATTGGCTCATAGTAGTATTTCACTTTGTGATAGCTCTGTATTCTATGCATTCGCTTTAGAAACTTGACATTCTCCTATCTGTCATGTTTCAGAATTTCTACATAGTACATGTAGTTTTTGTTAAACTGAGATTCCGGTAGTTCTCACCTATGCATATGATATATCAGAAATGAAATGTAAAATAACTCTCTTGCTGTGACTGCCACTGAAGAGATGGTGGTTGCTTATAGAAATATACATTCAATGTAAACTATTTGGACTCTTGCAACAGCTCTCACATTAATTTGCTCAAAGGGATATTCTTGCACAAAAAACTCTCTTTGAATTGGCTTTTTTTCTGTTTTCCAAAATGTTCACAGCTGCCAAATGCCCAGCAATTGATTGCCCCCCTTCCCTCCTATGTTAGTGCTAGCTTCTCATTTCTTAAAGATTCAGGATAACAGGAGAGAGAGGGGGGGGAAAAAAAACAGATGGAGTTTTCTTTCCTGAGAAACTGGGAACATTGTAAAAGCAAATTCATTCATGTAAGCCAGTTGAATTTGGCATCCGATAAAGAAATCTTGGCATGAAACAAGCTCTATACAAAAACAGCTCACAACAAACATTTCTGTTGTTGTGTGTCCACTCTTTCAGTTTAAGAGTGAATTGTAGCCTTCCACTCCATCTTCACACAAACCTTTTTTTGTCCAGGTTCATATGGCAGGTTGATTTGCTATTGCTACTAAATCAGGTATGTATGGGGAAGTCACTGCACTTGAAAAGGTGGAAGAGCACACAATGAAATGATTAAAGCAGGGATCTACATCTGTCTGTTATATGCTTAAATTTCAAAGCTGGCTGGGATTTATGGTAATTGTAGTCCATTCATGGGCTTCTCGATCAGCCCTATCAAAATGTATGGACATACTTCAACAGCGGAACTCGGTAGTTTTATAAATTATTGTGTCATTTTGTTTATATGAACTTTTTAAACTCGGAATAAAAGGCGAAAGAAGGAGAAATAAGTCTTTTAACTGGAATTTTGATAGCTTCTTTATCTCCTTTTTGTTTGTTTATGTGTATGTATGTTTTAGGGACATTCCAGCTATATTACACACCTTGATTGGTCCCCAGAAAACAAATACATAATGTCCAACTCAGGAGACTATGAAATATTATACTGTGAGTACAAAATTGTAACTACCTCCAACCTAGAAAAGTGCTAACAATCATACGAAGGGAAAAACTGATGCAGTACAAGGAACGCTTGTTGACAGAGGATAATGATATGACCTTCTGTAACCTGACCTTCCAATATTATTCAAAGCTATTTTGTTCTTAATGTTGCTTCCAAATATAGTTCCTGTCTCTGCAAGAGCATCAATTAATTTAACACTTTACAAGAGTGGTGCTTGCATATGATATGTCAGGGTATAAGTTGTAGCTTGAAAGTGTTATGTGTGTTTGCTTGATTAAATCCCTTCTTTATTGATATAATAGTTACAAGAGAATTATTTTAATAATTTTAGAAATCTTTTAGTATTTTAGTAATCTTTATTTTAGAAGTTCAAAATGTTCCATGTGCATTAGACCTACAAAACAAATTATTCTCCTTAGCCCCGAGGTGGTCTAGCAGAATCTCCCAGGTTTGTTGCTTGTTTGGGATTCCTAAACTAGGAAAATTCATAACTGGCAGGCTGCATTCAGTGTAATGGTCACACATTTGCAGGATTTTCCCTTACATTACCAAAATAATGCTTATTATTGACCTGAAAATCAAGTTTGAGTTAAAATATTTTGAACCATTATGGTATGCTTGAAATGAGCTTGGAGACATCCCAGATATGAACATTACAAAACTGAACAAGACTGAATAATAATGAAGTAACAGTAAACTCATATGAAAAGCCACCATGGATCTATAGTCATGTCTGCTGTCTTTCATAAATTGTTACTCTGTAGTGGTGAAGAATAGTGGCTTATGAAAAATAGGCAAGATGTGAGTTAGATGAACCCAGATCTGTCCCAACATAAGGTGGATTCACATATAAATTATAAAACACAGTGCCTATTTCATCCAATCATTTCTGCTTTTGAATGTAAACTGAAGGAGATTTAGAAACCATTAAGATTGCTTGATTGTTTTAGCCAAAAAATTCCAAAAAAAGGCAAAGGTTCTTTCTATCTTGCCAAGAAATTATGAGAGCATCTGTGAAAGACAGCAGGAGTCAAATTCAATTTGAAGTTGACTTGTCTTATTATTAACAGTAATTTACATTATTTCCATATATGTTGATCCTGATCCCTTTGACTGTAAGGGTAGGATAGAAAGCTTCATGTATAGATTCCACTGAAGAGTGTCTTTGGTCACCCAGATTTTCAAGATATGTGAGGCTTTTTCATGATATTTGAGATATATCAGCTTAGAAATGTCAGTCATATTAAAATAGGATTTGCACTGGAAAGTAGCATATGCACAAACAGTTATGAATGCCAGTCTGCTGAAATCATCTTTTTCATATTAACATGATTGTGTCACCTCTAATTCTTGGGCTTGCAAGCTATTGATCTACAGTACAAACTGTAAGCACTATTAATTATAACAAAATGTTCTCTTTTTTTCAAATTAAAGCTGCTATTTAGACTTTTATTTCTCCTATAGCTAAAACATAGTTCAGTACCTAGATTTTTTTTCCCATTTTATCTTTGAATCCTTCATTGAAAATGCATGCGATGTAGAATAATCTGCTTGGCATTCCATTACTTTGGAGCATGAATTATTGGGATATTTAAATAACAGGTGATAGCACAGTGAAAAAATATTTTCAGTTTGTAACATACTGCTGCTACTAAGCACGTTTAAACAACAGTTATTCAAAATATTTGTCAGTTATTTTTATTTATTTTTTAAAAATAATAATATAGGTAGCTTAAACAAATCTCACTCTAATATAGTTTTACTGTGTTTGAGGCTGCTGAGACACAGAAGTTGACAGAAGAGCTTCTCTTAAAGATGCCACCAATTTCAGAGGCCCATTTTTAGGCATAGAAGAGAGGACCTTCTCCTGTTGTTCCCAAGATATGGAACATATTTTTTCCAGAGACTACTGTTTCTCTGTCTTTAGGAAATAACTCATGACATTTCTTTTCAACCAGCTCTTTTGAATTGGAATGATAATGATTAGTTGCTTTTTTTAACAGGGTTTTAATTGCTTTATATTTCTGAATGTTTTTCTTCTGAGAGTTACTTTGAGAACCCTAAGGATGGAAAGGTAGGATACAAATGAAAATAATAATTTATAACTATTCCAATACTGGTTATATATTTTTATTAAGGGGACATTCCAAATGGCTGTAAACTGATAAGGAATCGCTCTGATTGTAAGGACATAGATTGGACAACATATACTTGTGTGCTGGGATTTCAGGTATTTGGTGAGTAACATATTCCTGTTTAATTACTGTTCTTAAGTTTAAAATCAGACTACTTTGGAAAATACAGAGATCATACAATTCATAGGGTATTTCTGGAGTTGTTTCTTTAAATTGACTTTATAAATGGAACTGTAATATCAATCATATTCTAACATTTTCTTTTTCATTAAGTACAACTGTTTTGGTAGAAGGCTATTATGATTGTATAGGCATCTACTACAAATCAAACTTATTAGCAAATAATTATGAAACTGGTGTCACAGTATCACAACACAAACCTCAGCCTTTAGTACCAGTTACCTGATGTTGGATGCTAGTACATGAGTTGCAGGTTTTGCTTGGGATCTGATTATACATATTTTGTCACCTGGGATCTGGGGTTATGGGTCTGTTCATATTTATGTTATCATAAGAAACAGAGTTTCCCAACCTGGGCAACTTTAAGATGTATGGACTTCAACTCCCAAAATTCCCCAGTCAGCATGGCCATGGCTAAGAATTCTGGAAGTTGAAGTCCACAATCTTAAAGTTGCCCAGGTTGGGAAACACTGATAAGAAAGGACTGAACATTTGTCATTAAATCTATATTTGTTTTAAGGCTTCATTAGTGGCAATTCATTCAGTAGATTGGTATCTTAATATATTTCAATTACTTAAAAATATGCCTCTTAAATTTGGGCAATAGTAAGTTTTTTAGTTGTTTATTAAAAGTAATAAAAGGACTTAGAAAATATTTTTAAATGGGGTTGTACCATATCAGATAAAAGATTTGTCTTTTCTCATACACATAGCAGAAATAACAGTGTTTCTAGGATAATTTATTGTACCTAGGATTATCTAGTTTTGATTGCTCTGTTACAAATGCATGCCTAATCTCGTAAGATTCTTCTGAGCCATAGATGGAGAACTTGTGACCATCCAGAATTATTGGCTGGCTAGGCTGATAGGAGTTGGAGTCCAACATCTTGAGGGCCATAGGTTTCTGCACCTTGTTTTAGTAACATTCTTATTTTCTATTTTCATATAATGAAGGAGTCTGGCCAGAAGGATCAGATGGAACAGATATAAATGCCCTTGTGAGGTCCCATAATAGGAAGGTGATAGCTGTGGCTGATGACTTTTGTAAAGTCCATCTATTTCAGTATCCCTGCTCCAAAGCAAAGGTACGTCTAGAGGCAATATTTTAGAGCAGGAGTGAGAAGAGACATGTACTCAGGTTCAGATGCTAGAATGATGGAATCTCTTACAGAAATATCAATTTCCTCTCCTCTGCACCAAATTTCTCAGAATGGTTATTGTTGTGTGGCTTCAATATAATCTATATCTTCAATATAATTATATCTAGTGGATATAATCTAGAAAAAAAATGTCCCTTTGCCATACTGGATTGGTCCCCAATGATCAAGTTACTACTTTGTCTCTCACTGCATTTTCTTTTTAATTTCATATTTATCTGGAATTTTTAAACTGTCAGCAGCACAGTGATTGCAATGAAAGGACAGAACAGAAATTTTATTATGTTGAATTTACTAGGATTGCTAGGAGATGCAAACCAAGCAGCTTCCCCACTACTATGGCAGCAGTATTTACATGAAGAATGGGACTAATCCATTTCTGTGAGACCTGCATATTTATTTTACCAGTAACCATCTATTGCTTGAAAGTGAATATATATCAAGGTGACCAGTAGCACATCAGACTTATGTAGAGTTCATATTTGAGTTTGCAGTGATTCATATTTTTGGAAAATGTGTGGTGAGGTAAAATTTACAGTCCATTGGAATGATGAGATATATTTTTTCCTGTATAAATACATGTAAGCAGAAATTGAGGTAACACTGTTTGATGTATAGTTTGATCCTAATGCTGGTGTTTTTGTATTTGTGTCAACAGGCTCCAAGTCATAAATATAGTGCCCATAGTAGCCATGTAACAAATGTCAGCTTCACTCATAATGATAGTCATTTGATTTCAACCGGAGGCAAAGATATGAGTATCATTCAGTGGAGACTTGTTGAGAAAGCAGCTTTGCCGCAGAATGATACTGCGGTAGAAATAGGCACAAACAAAGTGTCTGTAACTGCCAGTGACACCTTTACACAGCCAACCATCCCTGTGTCCCTTAATCAACCATTTGATGAAATGGCAGCCAGTGAAAATTTAATGGATGGCTTTTCACCATCTTTGGAGAGTCACTTGGAGCATGCTGTAAAGACCAGTGAAGAGCAGAATGAGGAGCAAAGTGAGGGAAGTAGTCTGGATCCAGGAGAGCCAAATTGTGAAGAACCAGCCAACGAAATGAGTGAGGAGCAGAGTGAATCCACTCTTATTGAAGATCAGCAGGAAAACTGTCCAGTGTCTTACCAGCTTGAAACTCAAGATGATCTTTAGATATTTTCTCTCAGTGCACATTGCTTTGTAAAGAAGAGGGTTCAAGTAAGGAAGGGAGACAGCTCTGACATGGAGCACTCAAGTTTCTGTGGAAGGCTTGTTAGTTTGATCTACTTCTGTTTTCAATGCATGGAATTATTGTAAAGACTCATTTTGACAGTTCCAGTCAAGCGCTAGTTAGGAAACTCGAATGTTACCATAGGTTAAATATAATTCGGATATTGCTGTCAGAAAGATGCATGATGCAAATAACTAGGGAAGAGGGAAGGAGGAATAAGTTTTCTGAGAGCAGCAGGTAGAGAAATCTTCTGGAAAAGAACTTTTAAGACTAAACAGAAGCATTAGGTAATGCCTGCTATGTAATGTAACTCTGGTGAAAGCTCTTCAGGAAGCTCTCCTTTCTTTTTTTACATTAAAAAGAGAAGGAGGGGAGAATAAGACAACATCATAATGGCACATACAGTGCTGTGCTTATTGCCTTCTTGATTAATACCTATGCAATTTTCTAAAACTATCAATTCTTACTAGCCGCTACTTTGGATACTGATTGTCCTAAGACAGCTCATATTAAAGTATACTTCTTATTGTTCCATGATAGTAGATCTTAAAAGAACAAAATTAAGATAGCAAGTTCTACTTAGTTTTCCATCTGATGACTGTTATATGATGTAATTTCAAGGAACTACTTGCCTTGACATATTGAAATTCAAGAACACCAACTGTGACTTTGATGCAAACTGACTTAACTGCATGAAGATAAAAGTTCTAATTCTCAAGTTCAAACCTGACTTTCAGATACAATTAATTCGTTCAATAAGAGTTTAAATATTAGAGAAATAGCATTAAGTTATGAAATCTGATGCTTGGGAGTAATGTAATGATTGACTCAGTTATTTAAAAAAATTAGGGATGACCTTAAAAATAAGAAATTTTCAAGTAGACTTTTTTACAGCCATCTTTTTAATAGCTGTAATATAAACGTCCCATTTCCTTAGATAATTTTGGCTATTTTGGGTTTTTTTTCCCTCTCTCTCTTTGTGTGTGTTTTTCTTTTTCTTTTTCTTTTTTTTTCCTCTTGTCCAATTTTGTAAGCCGTGCAGCTCAGAGATAGCTGGACTTGGCCAGTTATGGGATATCATGGCATTTTATTATGTGTTAAAAAATATCTTTTTTAAAAAATTCAAAAAACACATCAGCTACATTTTTTCTTAAATACCTAGATTTTCCTGTTTAAACGTTTGTTGAAAAACATCCTACTTTATATTTTAATTACATAGGATTTTTTAAAATTTTGCTGATATTTTAGATCTTGGTTAGAAATTGTGTTTAGAAACCTTGGATGAGTTTGTTAAGTCTTAAGTGTGCAAGGGTTTACGTGAATGTGCCATTCCAAAGTGCATCAGAACTGTCATTCCCTTCTATTATATTCTCAGGAGTAAATGCTACAGATCAGGTATGTAATCTATTCATCAGTGGAAACATTAACAATTGATGTAGACTCCCAAAGGTCATAAATACTGTCACATACAGATACATACAGGCGCGCATACTCTTTGTTTACATCCATTCCGGAAAACCTCAAAATAATTATCTTCAGATACAGATGTGAATTCCAAGCAACTGATCTGTTTTGCTTTATCTAAAAAGCTGTACTGTTGAATAATACATTGAAGTGCTCCAGTGCATGATTGGCCACTTTGCTAAATAGTGCCTCTGGGCAACACAAATACCAATACTGTGTCAAGAGAACAGATTCCTTTGGAAAGGAAGTATCTACCAGGGAGGAGGGCCATTTTCAGTGATTTACAACTTCCAGGTCTGCTTCAGTGGGTCTTATAACCATCAATAACAATGGGGGGAAAGATGGAAGAAGGGGATTCATTGAAAATTCTCTCCCATTTATTGTTCCATTCTATTCCACAGAGAGAGATTAACTGAATAACACAGCTTTTAAAAACACAGTAAGGTAAAATAGTCCTCCTAGTAATTTTAATTAACATTTAATGGATTGTAGAGCTCTTTAACATCCTCAGTGAATACCATGAAAACAGTGCGTTTTGTTTGGAAATAACTATTACCTTGAGGTTGCCATGTAAAGTGAGAATTAATAGTTGTGATTTTCCTCATGTTGTAGATTAAAGGATCTTTTTCTAATACGCCAAAAAAGGGAAAGAAAAAAAAAAGCCTTACAACTTTTGATTGCTGGCAACTACTGTTCAATAGATAATTAAATCTGTGATAATAGAAATGGGTGGGATTATGTTAACTATAAATGTTTTAGGGTAAAATTGTGAATGAAACATGATTTGAGTGTGTCATGTGAAGATGTTTGAGCCATTCTGTCTATCATGCATTCCTGTCTCATGGCAGAAAAATCTGAAGATTTAAAAATAATAATAAAAATAAAAGAATCAACATAATGTAGCAATCTTTTCTTGTTTGTATCTTTGTCTCTGCTCATGTGTTCGAATTTCAGTAGTCTAAAGCAAGACTGTGTTCCAGTTCACTAATCTGCAGTGGATTGGAGAATTCAAGGCAGATGTGATCTGTCTTGAGGCAGAGCAAATGAGTCCAATTCATCCTATTCTGTGTCAAAACTTAAGATGAAGCTCCGTGCTCAGTATCTGGGAAAGACAATGAGGATTCAGGGAAGTCCAAGTCAGAGTGCCCTTACAGTCAGACCTCTATCCATTGTCCTCAAGTATCTTGAGAGGGGTGACCTCATGAGTTAACCAGTTGTTCACCTCAGTATTTCCCATCCTTGAAAATGATTACATTCTTAGTACTTGAAGAAATGTTTTCTTTTTTGAAAAATAGGAGGAGGAGGAAATTGTGAAACCAAACAAGCAAACAGACAAAAATTACTGTATATGTTCAGTTCACAACGAGCACAGTTCACATGTGTGAATAACTTTAAGAAAGAGAAGTTTCAGCTCTTCTCAAAAAAAGTGCCAATGGGCTCCAATAAAACCTCACATTAAGGATTAGTTAATGATGACCATTAAGAACTAAAGTCTTATTGAATTATATCTTGGGTTGGTTTTGTATACAGATATCATAAATATATATGTATATCAAAGTTCAGTTATTTTGTCTGGAGTGCAGTGTTTATATCCAGTTTATCCCAGAAGAGAGAAGTATTTGATAATCCACAGGTTATGAACCACTATTCTAGTTTCCCCTTTTCCAGCTACAAACTAATGATCAAGGTGTTTTATTAGCCTTTCTGTCTGCTCTCCTCTTTCACATATACTGGAAGGGAAACAGATGCAGAAGGGTAACAGCTTAGAAACACGCGTTTGGGTTGGAGAATAGTGGGAGAAATGGACTTATGCAATGGTAAGAAATATGTAAGCTTCCAGGTGTGGGACTCCCATCTCCTATCAACCCTACCCAGAATTGCAGAGATGCATAATCTAAGTCCCCAGGGTCACAGGGATTCCCCCAAATATTCACAAATTGTTACCAAATTTCAGTTCTGAATATGACAGAGAAGGGAAATTAAATGACAAAAGAGCAACCATATTAACTATAATTTAAATCTAACTTTTGTCCCAGCTGCCATATACTGCTTTGAAGTACGCTCAGATTTGGCCTTGTTCTAAGAAAAAGGTGCCCACCAATGGTGCTGGGGCTTATTGTCCAACAAACTTTAGAGCAGAAGGAGATAATATCTCCACATGTTGCAAAATATTTCCACAATCTCTTGTCACGGGCAGTGCTAACTGGGGCTTATAGAAACAGAAGTCAAAAACATTTGGAAGATAATAGGCTAGTTGTTATTTCAAATTCCTATCCATTTACCAAAGTAAAGATGGGGAACCTATTTCTGTCTTTGGAGTGAATTAGCTGTGAGAAAGCTCATTGGAACCAACATACAGCAGGGGACTGTGCCCTATACTCCCTCTGAGAATAGAGGACTAGATAGGGTTCTAAAGGCTGGAGGGGAGGTGAACTTGCACAGTTCTAGGACAGTGTTCTAGATCCCAGAAATGGCAATAGAGAAAAGGTGGAAACAACTGGGAGAGCAAGCACCTCCAAATGGTGGAGGACAGTGAAGCTCAGGAGTGTAAGAAGCTGGAACTGTATTGAGCATGGGGCTATAGTGGATTGAGGCCATAGGAGACTTTACAGGAACTTGTATCTGAGAACTAATCAAGGAACCAGTGTAAGGGATGGTAGTAAAAACTTGAGATGACCCAAGTTTTTGTCAGGTGTGTGTACATTCAATGTCCTAAAGAGAGAAATGATATCATCATTTGTAGTATTCAAATTTCGATTAAATTCATTTCTCTAAGTTGTAAGTGAGGAATAATTGATTTAGAAGCTGTGATAATCATTATCAGCTTTTATTCCATTTGGTGAATTTCATTTCCATTGCATTCTAATTTCTCTTTCTATTTTCTAATATTCATCAAAAAGGCTGTGAAATGAACATTGCAGCAAACATTAATGTTGTGGCTTCAGGGGGCTTTTTTCTTGATTTTTCTGGCTTGGAGATTTCACATTTTCTGGTGAGCCAGTTTCCAAGAAGGTAATTTTCTGTCCACAAAATTAGTGTAGATGAGCATTGAATTAGGTTACCTAATCCAAACAGATTAATTTGATTAGATTTAGGGGTTTCATTCAAAGTGTCTCACCTCCAGATCTGAACACTCCAGGAGCTTATTGAGCGTTTTGGAATATTAAATAACGGCAAGCAGTGTCTGCAAATACTGAACTTTTTCTCCCCAAGCTTTCCTATGAGGAAATGCCTTAGGAGAAAAAGGATAAATATTGTAATTGTGGTGCAATGGTTGTGATCACAGGGAATGTTGTAGCATTACATTGCAGGATGGTTCTAGCAATCAGTGTTCTTTGCCAGTTCTTTCCCAGGTTTGTTTTTTAAAAAGAAAAAAAAATGCTGGAATCAGAGGAAGCTGGGAGGATATAGCATTAGGCCATTACTTAGAAAATGTTGGAATTTTCACCTCTTCTATCAGACTGCTCCATATTCCTCATCTACTCTGTTCTATTTCACTTTCTGTCATTTTGATTTGAGTTGAATAGAATGTTGTTTTTAATTCATCAGACTCACATCTGTTTAAATATAACATATTGCCTAGGATAACAGTGGGCAACCTGGAAATCATACATAGTACCTCATTTTTCCAGCCTCTGGTGCCTCTCAGGAACTCAGCAGAAAATCATCAAAAATCAGTGGCTGATGTGTCAGCCATTTGATAGAAAAATTAGAGGGAAAGCAGGGAGATCACATTAAAACAGAATTGGGCCTCTCAATCTTTTCTACATAAAAATTGTCCTACCTACAAAAATGGTGCCTGATTCTGCCAGAGGGGTACCTATGATTTCACACGCACAGAAGAAGGCAGTTTGCAGATGTACAAAACAAACATTTGGGTTAAATGTATCACAAAAACCCCTAGGGATCTCAATATACAACACCCCAAAAGCCAAGGTAATACAAAAGAATGCACAGAGTTGAAGAAATGATACTGTAACTGGCTACGTGCATACCTGGGGTGTGTTGGGCTGCCCATCTGGCTTCCTCAGGTGGAGATCCCTAAGCCCTTTCCCTTCAATGCATAGAACACATTCCAATAGACCTAGGGAAAGCCCATGGAACACTGCTATCAATCACTTTTTCATAGAGAAATCCTTTCTGGAGCTGAATTACTCAAAGTTAGATGAAGTTGTGGCCTATTTCTCATATTTTCCTCCTTTTGGAGGGGGCAGCTTAACTGAGTGGGAGATGCATGTGCTAATCACGTATTCAGGTGGGGAGAGGTGTCAAAACCAACAAGGTGGCAGACAGGATTCCAAGCACATTTGGTAGGATGGGCAAAAGGTCATCTGATTTAATGCAAGAAGATTAAGGAGCAATCTCCACTTTATAGAAATCCAGTACCCTTCAGATGTGATCTGAATCCATAACCTATAAACCTTTGTAGACAGGTGGCCTGGGAATATGTTCTTTGCTTTACAATTTTGTACGGAAGTTGTGCTTGGATTGAGCTCTATTGCTAACACTTCATTGCAAGTGTTCCATGGAAAGTCGTCTTGTGAAGTAATATTTTATAATGTATAATAAAGTATGTGAATGAAAATCAGATGCTTGGTAAAATTGCCGCAGCCTTTTCATCAACTTGGTGTAGGCATTTCATAATCCTGAAGTGATTTGTTGTTGCTCTGCCTGCAACTTGCACAAAGTTCAAGGGCTATAACTTGAAGCAGGGATGTTGACATATCCCAAGCAAGCTCTCTGAGACTTCTGTGTGGCCAGTGGATTCAGACTTAGGCAGAGAATTATAGAGGAAGTTGGGAACCACTTTCCTTGAAGTGCCAGTGGAAACTTTAAAAAAAAGCTTTTTCTTTTTTAAAAAGCTAATTGCCATGGCAGGATGGGAATATTGGAAGAGTCACAGCATATAGAAAAGGGACCAGCAGTTGGTGTAGGAGTAGTCAAAAAAACCAAGATGTCTGTTGTAATGGTGCAAAGCCCCACTCCTTTTATATCTGTATTAATGTTACATGCATGTAGAAGAGGGCAAGATTTCAATCACAGTGGCAACCACTTCTTGACTTTTTTGACCCCCTCTGTAGATGCCGCAAGGGAAAGTCAGCCTTGCCTTCTCCAGCTGCAATCCCCTGAATCCCCACTCTTCATGGCAAATGAAAGGATATTTTAGGCCTAGCTACTGTGCCATGTAGGTTCAAGAGTGATGGGTTAGCAGAAGGCCATGGTGATCTAAGCCATAGAGCCTCTGCCTAGGAGGGAACCCTAACTCTGCTCCTGAAGGAAGAAAACACTCCACCATAGCACCAGCTGAAATCTTCACTTCTTACTGTTTCTTTTATACCCAGCTGAAACTTAATCTGGTGGCCATTCAAGGCTTGGGTTTGGTCCAAAAGCTTAATTATGCAGAAGCTGAATGGTGATAAATGAATGCTGCTAAGGGAACACGCTATCCATGCATTGCTGGAGAATTCATTCATTCATTTTGTACTCTCCCACAAGGTATGTCTTCACCTCACGATATAAAAATAAGTGTAAGTAAAATAATGAGAAGCAAAATGTAATCCTGCCGAGGTCTAGCTTGATTGCTTAAAGCTTGGGCTTTATTTGTCACTTCATTATACGCATCCACAAAGAACACTTTTTGTGCAAGTCACCTTAAAATATAAATTTTAAAAACCAATAAAATAACATGCTACAATAAATTAAAAACAGCATTGATCTATAAATGTGGGATGAGATTATAAAGCCCATATGAAAAACTGATACAGAACAAAAGAGAATGTTTTGCTATGATACCTGTAATTCAACCCAACTGTGACATGGAGGCCTGGTGTTTTAGCCTGCTCCTCATCTGTATTGTTCTGCCACTTTCAAAAACTGGATTATTTCCAAATAC